ACTGCGTGACGTGAGAAAAATTTACAAGCGAATTTTTCCGCGTGATTTCACTTTGCGTTTCACGTCACGTATGATTCGACGAATGGCGGGATCGCGTTGCGAAACTGATTTTTCCAGCGTGTCATCGATCATCGAGATGAAAACTGTCGCGCGAGCAAGAGACGAGATCGAAACACAATAAGTAGCAAGATGCGGCTCTCGATATCAAAATTTGATTCGCTGAAAAGTTTCCTTCGTGCAGCAAAATATTAAAAATGTTTGAATAAAAATTGTTAATTTATATTTAAACGTAAAGGTTAATCGAGATAACGAGACTTGGGCACAAAGCTAATCCGTTTTCATTTGTCATCTTAACCATAATTTTCGACATTTTAATAATTCGGTATTTAAAAGCTTCGAATCACGTGCAGAGTTTTATTAAAACAATGTCGAGTTAAAGACGAAGTGAGATTATCTATCTCCTTCAAATTTAATTCGCGAGTTACCGTTCGCTCGTAACGCTCGTGAAACCGAAGATTAATGATAACTTCAACATGTATGCACATATAATCGAGCCGAGGTCTTTACCTTGGAAATAAAACAGATTGAAAGAAAGAAAGGAACCGGAGGCGTACACGCGCAGGAATTATCTAAGCTTCGCGCAGGGGATTATGCGTAAAGAAAGATGGATTATGCAGTTTACAGGTAGACCGATGTTGTTTACACGACGACCGGCTCCATTCACTGTCTATGCTCCACATTACGTGTGCTCCCCACGCAGCGTTCTTTTCGTGATTTAATGCGACATGGGCAGGTGCAATGAGACAAAGAGCGGGATGCACGGCGAGAAATACCGCGTTGTCCGTCAACGCGGAATTCGCGATCACCCGTCATTTTTCTCTTACTCGCGTGCCATCGATACCTCGCGAATGCGCCTCGTGCCATCTTTCTCTTGCTCACGCGTTATTTTCCACACCCGTTACGGTATTTACAGGAAATGTCGTCCGTCGCGGAATGCACGCATCATTGGAAAACCGCTCGTCCTTCCTCCCGTCCGACGCGATCGTTGGTAGCATGCATTCGTAATGGCGAAAGTTATCTTCTCCACAGGTGGATTCTGATAGACATCGACATCGATGAAACGAGCGGAAGGAGAGACATGAGAGAGGAAACGATAACGCTTGTAAAAATCTAAACCGGTGTTACGGAATAAACCGGAATTAAAAGATACACTGTTGGAAAATATGTGTTTTCACAAATTTAACATAAATCACATGTCCCAAATAATCCATTCAAATTTTTGTTAATTAATTTAACATTATATAAATGTTAAATAACGCAAAAGTAACACACTGATATTGTATTAATATTTAAACAAAAAAGAAATATAATGTTGATCTTGAAAGATTATTATGTGTACAATTAACATAATTTTTGTGATAAAAGTGACATGTAAATAACATACCATCATCCCTGTTATCAATAACAAAAAATAATCAATATTTTTTTCTGTAAATTTCAAACATATTTAATAAACACGTACAAATTGTATTACTTTAAAATATTTTTTAAATCATTTTAATTATTTTACATTTGTTAAAATTAAATTAACATAATAGACATATATTAAATTTACATATAAATATATAGACTACTTAATGTTATGAAAACTTTAACTAGCAATTTTTTCAAAAAAATACACAAATTTTCCAACTGTGTATGTACTGTCAAATGTACGATTAAAGGTGTTTGCTCGCGTTTCTTGCACCCACTAGAATTTTCGATATTTAAAGCAAAAGAAATATATTTGTAGGTGATGAAAAAAAAAGAACTAGAAACTTAAGTGCAAAAAGTAACGCGAACAGACCTAATAAAAAACATTTCCAGATTGCTACCCACATGAATCATCTCGTAAAATTTTAGAATTTTATATTCGAGCTCGTACACTATGACATTTGCAGATCTAACGTTGCCGTGGCGTAACGCGAGATTTCGCGTATGATAACAGCGAGAGGCTGTTATCATATCCCGCAATTCCGCGCTAGGATCTAGAAGATGATTTATTCTTCCTTTCGCGGCGATAAACGTTCGTCCTTTCCATCGAACAATCGCCACCCTTGGCCTTAGCCTTCCCGTCAGTTCGTTCCCGGCGATATATACCTCATGGAGTATCATGCAATTACGTGAGGCGTCAGTGATTACAGAGCCCGACGTCGTTCAGCCAATAAAACAACGTCACAGACACGACCTTTTTAATCATGCGTTCACGAAGCGTCACTGTGGGTCTACGTTCGGTACGCATGACTTTTCAGCTCTCCGATTTATAGAAAAACACGTATAACGATAACGTGGCATTACATAACGATTCCACGATGACGTTTCTACGTTGTTCTAGCGTGCAACGGTGGGTAAGCTGGAAATTATTTATGCACGTTATCGCAATCGCGATGCGCGCGATCTGCAATCCCTTTATCAGCCTATCTGATAAGATCACAACGAAGTTATCATGTCTCTCGACTGATACGAGCGTTTTTATTATGTCATGATTTCGGTATTACAAACGTTTTACGACGTCGTATTAGAACAGTCGCGACAGACTTGTCAATATAAAAGCCATTGGTTCTCGTTTAGTTGAAGTTTTGAATTTCGATGGATATATCGCAAAGCAAACATCCGTTTGATTAGATTTCCCCCCTGTTTGCCAGTTGATAAAAAAAAAAATGTGAAAACAACCAGTTTTAATTCGGAGCAATCGTCCGATAATGTAAACATAATGATGATTACATTCGACAGATTCCCTTCGCGTCTCTTCGATTTTCAGCGTTATATTTTCCCGATTAGCGAACCTCGGAATATTCGCATTAAAGGTGAAACCGAATAACAAACTTTCTCGTTGTCGATTCCTATTTATGACAATTCTTTCATTGCACGTGACGTTTCCTTTTCTTCTTCAAAAATTATCTAATGTAATCCATTTTTATTATATTTCAATGTCGATTTATCTTAATATCGGTTTAATTTATCCTTCTCTAATTTTTAAAAATAGATGAAAAGTAAATTATATTGGTGGTGAAATGAATTGTGAGAAACGTTCGTTTTTGTGGCTTATTGTTAGAAAAATTTAAATTTAAGTTGAGAAAAATTTAATTTTAAGCGTCACTTATCGTTAAAAAATCGGACATGCTAACGTGTGAAGTCTTCGAGCGAGGCACGCGTAGCGTTTAAATGTATCGCCTACGGCGGAAGTGAATTTGTCTCTCTCTCTCTCTCTCTCTCTCTCTCTCTCTCTCTCTCTCTCTCTCTCTCTCACCGCGCGACACGACGGTCGGACTCACGACAGGTGCGAGAGAGAGTGGTATGTCGCGGCACGGCGGACGTACCGTAAAGTTTGGTTTTGTGGTGTGTGTGTGTGTGTGTGTGTGTGAGAGAGAGAGAGAGAGAGAGAGAGAGAGAGAGAGAGAGAGAGAGAGAGAGAGAGAGAGAGAGAGAGAGAGAGAGAGAGAGAGAGAGAGAGCTCGGGAGAACCTGGAGGTCTGCCAATTTGTGCGAGGTCCAAACATGACCGTGCCGTAGCGAGAGGCTACTTTGCTCTCCTTCGGGGTTCTCTGACTTTACGTCCGTCCCGTGCGATGAAATTGCATTATCGGGTTCCCCGAGGAATGCAAATCGCATTAATCGCAGTGCACTGGGAAAACACAGACGGAGGAGAACGGGAAGGAGAGACAAATTAGGAATACGCGGAGACCCTCTTGGGCATCCTCTCGGAAAATTGACGAATATCTGTGAGTGAAATTATCCTATTCGATACCCCGGAATTCTCGGGAATATCAACGATCATCTCCGAAAGAAAAGTTATATTCTTCATTCCGTAAATGGAGACTCGAGTTCAAGATTCAAAATATTTTTGTACATACTTTAATTTTTATAAACTTATATCTACATGTATTTTATATAATATTTATATATACGTATTAAAAATTTATTTCTTGTATGTGTAAATAAAAATATATTTAAACAATGTTTAATATAAATAAAATATAATATTTAAAAATATATCTTCTTTCACGCATTTATATCTATCGCAGGTGAATACGAACGGGGATCGTAGATAAATGTGATCTCCTCGATTCGATATATTGGGTTCGGGGATCGGACAGCAGCCGGTCGCGAAAGTATTGACCTTCCGTGTGACGTTTTCCGCATTCCGCGTGGCATCTTCAGGGTCAGTAATCGCGACGCCGTGACAAAACTTCCACTACCGGAGTCACGGAGACTCCTAAACTGATGGTGCCCCTAAGAAGAAACGAGTGGAGGTCCCTCTCTCTCGCGAAGCGATTCCGCGATCGCGCGACGAATCAAAACCGCGGTCCACGCTTATCTAGCCGTGGGGAAACAGATAACTCCCGATGTTGCATCGCGCCACGAGTAGAAAGGCTGACCGGTAACTGACCCCTAATCATTAGCCAAAACAACAAGTCGCGTGAAGTCCTTGAAGGCGTCGCGAAAAGGAGCGTGTATATACAGACGCTAAACAACGGAATGTAATTATGATACCGACTTAATTGCCGTTTGTAGAACACAGTGTCGTGAGAATGTTCGACTATTCTACGCCACATCGCTCCGAAACGCGACGCTCGCATTTGTGAGAATCGACGTATACGTTTGACAAACGTCACTCGCAAAAAGAAAAAAAATAGAAGCAAAGGAGAAAAAAGAAATTTCTTCAATCGATCATTGTAATTTTTTTCTCAGATCACGTGTAATTCACGTATCGCGATATTTTTTTTCTTCATCCGTTTTTGTGAACGATAGTCTTCCCGCTCATCTTTCCCACTCTCCCTCTCTCTACTCCCAGATAAATACAAATTTTTCGTCCGCCGAAGGGTGCGCCGGGGGGACGCAGGCCGGTCGTCGGGAATTTCGCAAACCCTCACGGGTTGCAATTCTACGGTGCACCGAGCCGTGGCCGACTCGTCGCTGCTCTTGCGAAGCACAGAAGACAACATTCTGGGTTTACTCACCGAAAGCAATTCCTCGGCACGACGGCGACCGATCGGGGAAGGGAAGGAAGGGGAAGCGCGCCGACTCTGGGCTGGCTGGCTGACTTGGCGCGGTATCCTTCCGTGTGGAATCCGGCGAAAACTTAACCCCGGCGTGATGGGCCTCCGCCGCGTATCCACGTGTGCGGAACGTTATCAGGTGCACCGACACTGTTAACACACACGCGTAGCCCGCGAACGCCGCGCGACCCGCTGACACGTACAACCGTACGCGCGATTTCACGGCAATGGAATTTTGTCACGTCGCGCGTTTTCTCAGCGAACGGTACCGCAAACGCTCATGTTGCTGCACCACGAACGGCGAATTACCATTCCAGCTATTCCCTCTCCGCGAGCCACCACCGCCGCTGGGGCGTGGCTTAGCGACGTAGGGATCCGAGTGCCGACGGCCGCGAACGAGGCTCGCTCATTGGCCGGGAGCCGCCGGCCAATCGCGACGCGGCGTCAACCCGAAACCGTGCGCGCGTGATTTGAATTCGTGATTTGAAGTATCATCGACGTTTCTCGCTTTAAAATTAAATGATAAGTCCGGCCGTAAAGAAATTTCGTAATTTGAGCGAAATTTCGAAGCAGAAATATTCTTTCTGATAAATGATTCTAAAATTTGTATTTGACATATATCAATTGAAATGAAGTTAAGATTGATTTTATCGACTGTCTGTAATTTATCGACGTTGTTTATGAATGGAAAGATAATTTTTTATTTTTGTTATTTCGCTAACCGCGAAATATTTTGAATTATAAAAATCGATAGAATATAATTCGGAAAATATAATCGATAATAAAGCGATGCTTATTGAAACTCCAGGAAATAATCAGGAGCGAAGCTTGAGACTTTTCATTACGAAAATCAAAACTTTCGAAGTTATAAGTAAAATATCAGAATTGTAATCGAGTAAAAAGTAACACTAATTAAAGTTACGAGAATCGCAATTCGTTGAGTTTCTAAAATGTTAGATTTGTTAAAATTCTTGAAAATAAATAAAATATCAGGAGAATATAATTAGATTGGAGGAATGAGATAATGAATCTTTTCAACAATTATTCCAAAAATTTCAAAAAAATTTACTTAATTTCAACCACGAGGATTCGAACTTTCAGAAGCTAGGAATGTATCAAGTAGAATATTTGTCAGCTGAGTATTGGACTGGAATTTATAGAATTTCTACATGATAATGCAGATAACACGAATGCCGGTCATTCAGTGAGTGTATGACACTGCTAACGGTATTCTAAAATGAGATTGCAACGCGTCGACCGCTTTAGATCAGTTTATTAGCATATTTCTCTGTACGTTAATGGGATACGGTGCTCATGATGGATGTACACCAATTGCATCAAATGCCGAATAAAGTAGGTGCAAAATCTTGTGGATTTAATCATTTGACAATTCGAAAGTAACATGCGATGTTAAAACATAACCTCTCTCGTATGAAAGTCATGTTTGCACAAAATTGTGCTGACTCGTTGTAATTTTAACAAATATTACTCTTCCTTTGCTTATGAGTATCTGTTGTTAACAATGGTTATTCTACCGAAAAAAATTTCCATTGTTTTGCATTGCATATGTTGCTTCTCAAGATTACATAGGATATGATGTTTCTTTTTTACTTTTAGAGTGAAGGAGAATTAACTCCAGAAGAAAAATGGAGGTAAATATAACAAATTTATTTTGAAAATATTTCTTGTTATTTTTTATAGCTGGATTTGTAATGTTTGAAATTAGAATATTGATATAGAGAAGTTCAAATAATAGAATTCGTGTTAAATTTGCTTCGTAGGATAGAGCATATAAAGATGCACGAGCAGCATCGAGGCCATGAATCTATGCATGCGGAAATGCTGCTTATATTGTTGGTGACATTAACAGTAGCACAGATTATACTGGTTGAATGGAAGAAGAGGCATTTCAAGTCATATCAGGTATAGAATAAGATATTTCTCTTCTTTACACTTAATGCAAATATCAACTGAATATATTAATATGATATATTTTTTCTGCAGCTTGTAACGCTAGTAGCCATGTGGATTATTCCATTTGGAGTAAGCTTAAAGAACCATTGGTGGAGATTTATATTTTTATGGCTTTTATCTTCATGTATAACAGCTCTAGTAGTAAGAAAAGCTATGCAAAGACCAATAGAAGGTACCACACCTAGGTAATATCAAATAAATGATGCTATTATAGATAGTAATTGTGTAATAATAATAGACTTTACTTCTTTACAGACTCGTGTACAAATGGTTTTATTTTCTTTATAAGCTCAGTTATGCGCTAGGTATAATTGGATATATCTTTGTGTTATTTACATTTTTTGGCATAAATATCCTATTAAATATTAAACCTCATGTTTGGATGGACTGCGGCATGTTGTTTTTATTTTATGGTCTTTACTTTGGAGTATTAGGGAGAGACATTGCTGAAATGTGTGCTGACACAATGGCATCACATATTGGGGTAAACATTAGAAATCAAACATTAGACATTAAGTGTCATATTATATGCCTGATCTTGTAATATTTGATACAATTTTCAGTATTATACTCCGGACAGTATTCCAACGAGAGTCTTGGAACCAAATGTTTGCGCAGTATGCGGAAATAAACTTCTGGTTTCCGAGCACGAGGAAGGTGTGATCGAAAATACGTATAAACTTACTTGCGAACATGTTTTCCACGAATTTTGTATTAGGGGTTGGTGCATTGTTGGAAAGAAGCAAACTTGTCCTTACTGCAAAGAGAAAGTCGACTTAACGAAAATGTTTCGCAATCCGTATCCTTTTAAAACATTTAAAACACACAAAAATTATAACGACGATTTTATGCAAATCAATCTTATTATACCTTAACGAATAATATAGTTGGCAACGGCCACACGTTTTATATGGTCAACTATTGGATTGGTTAAGGTGGCTAGTTGCTTGGCAACCTTTAATTTTGTTTCTAGTTCAAGGTATCAATTGGGCTCTGGGCCTTGAGTAAGTAATAATGTTGGCGTAAATCAACTACTCTCACATGCACCATTGTTGTTATTGCAACACTAAAGAGAATGATTAACTTAGTCATCTTGTCAATACTGTGTTTGTATTTTTATATATGTTGTAATTATTTTTGTTACTCATAAAAAAGATATTTTAATAGATAGGACAAGTAAAATGCCAGTAAAAATAATCCTACTCGTGTCTAAGCATTAAAAATTAATAATGATACCACGTTAATTCTGAAAAGTATATATTTATTCCCATACATGTAGAGAATAACTCCCCGTTAAAAATGATTCCGGAATATAGCATATAAACATTTTGTGTAATCGAAGAAACTGAATAGAAAAATTCTTTATATGAAATAATAATATACCAAAGCTCAATGCGTAAATTAGATGTAATGTAACTATATATCTAAAATAGTGTATGCCACACATTAAACATGTAATTAAAAATTATTTAATGTAAGAAATAATCAGATACATGGCGATATTTTTGTATTTTTCCTCTAAAAATTCTTTGTACACATAAGAATATTAAGAATAATATTTTAAAAAACAGTTACTATAGGAGTAACATTTTGTGAAGGACATGAGGAGGATTAAATCATTTTCTATATTGTTCTATCCAGATAGTCTATCATAGTTTTAGCAGTTAAATGTCAGGTTATAGTGATGTGTTAAATATTTGTTCATAAATTTATTACCTATACTTCTGGCAAACATGTTTTGCAAATAACTTCCTACTAATTATGAATACATTCCATTACTCCTAAACATGTAATGAGTGCTGCTTCCAATATTTGCTTCATCAAATAATACAATTACAAGAAACTAAAGAATGCATGTATATATATTGTATGTGACTGCTGTTTACAGGGTGTAAATTATATTGTAATATATAAAAATAGACGAAATCAAAGAATTGATATGAATTGTACACGTATTTTCTTTTAAGTTATTTTAATGAGATTTTAACATTAGTGTTTCGCAATTGTAAAAGATATAAATCAGAAAAATATATTCTTGACAAGATATACATTTCACTTATAATAATTGGAGAAATATTTATCTAGCATTTAAATACCTTCTTTCTTTTGATTAGACGTCAATAATTGTAGCAGACTTGATTATGTAAGCATATGATCTTGATTATAAAAAATACTTGCTATCGATTTATATTTTCTATAATCAAATTTCTACGTGTAATATTTTTCTAGTAAACACATCTTGAGTGCTTCTTGCAGCATTCAAACAATAGAGATCAAACTTACAATATATACATAATATAAATCCATTGTAAAATAATGGCATTTAATTTTGTTGCTAGTCGCTCCAATTATTGTGGAGGATATTTTTAAAATGTAATAATTACTATTTATAATTTTTTTTTCTTAAGATCTCCATGGGAGAAGAATTTGATATATGTTACATTCTCAATCATGAATATATCTTTCGATCTGTTCTTTCTTTTGGACGAGAGTGCAAAATTTATTGTACGGTATATTGTATCATTCAACTATAACAGTCAACAGAAATGTAACATGTATTTCTTCCATCTTGTTCCTACACAAAACATACAACATAGTATAACGCAATCATTTTGTAAAGAATAAAACCACTGTCAAAAACATGTCTTTTACAATAAAATTATGTACAAAATGACATACTTAGCTGTGATGTTCAATTCCTTTGTATTGCGTTTTTGTTAAATCGTTTTGATAGTTTCGTGAAAAGGAAAAGCTTAATTTTTAAATTTCTGAAAAAATAAACCTAGATATATAGAATTGTTGAAATTAAAATAAAAGGGGCAAAGGGAGAGACAACATATTTTTATCTAAATTTCGAGCCTCTGTTAATTCTTCCATTTTGAATCAAAGTATTAAAAAAAATTAGCAATTAATAACATAAATTTGAGATATATATACAATAAAATGTTTTGAAAGTGATTTCTAGATAAAAGATATTTTCTTGCAATTTGAAATAATTAAGATTGATGAAAGTAATTTAAATATTGAAGCAAACTGCCGCGCAGTTATGAGTTAATGTGTGTCTTCTTGTATGTAACGTAGTAATTTTTTCTTGAACATAATCGATATAGTTTATAACTTTGAGTGAAATGATTATCTTTTCTTTCATATTTTCATAATTTTTACAGAGTAACAGATATGAAGGAGGATCAGCGTGAAAGAACACTCAGTGTAATGGATTAACGACTACCGCATGCCGTATTGTTGTATAAGTTTCTCTGCTAGCATCGACAGATAAGTTCCTATTTACACATTCGCAATCTCTCACTTAAGAAATAGTAGATATAAGGAAGAATATGATGTCGACCGCAGAGTCCAAGATACATAGCTATGTACGTGTGTGCATGTATGTGATAGTAAGAGAGAGAGAGA